GGGTTTTTTTTTTTTTTTTTTTTTTTTTTTTTTTTTTTTTGTTCTTTTTCTAAAATCAGGTAGGTCTTAGTAATGAGTTTTAGCTAAACCAGTGCTTCCGAAAACCTCCTTTCTAGGAAACTTAATTGTCACTGAAAGTTTTCTTTTTGTTCCATCCCAGTTGTCTGGACCACTCATTTACCGAGAACACCAGATAAATCTCAAGCCTTTTGTGATACAAAAGGCCTTGCAGATTTCAAAACCTTTGGGTAATCTACATTACATATGATCCAAAAATCACAAAACCAAAAAAATTACAAACTTCTGTCAAACTTGGGGGTTCAACTTCTGGGTGTAGCTTTCTCTGCTACTCACATTCTTGGAATTGTTATCAGCTTCCCAAGGAATTCTTTTCTAATTGGACCTTTAGGCTTAATTGGCTTCTCCAATGGAATGTAGTGGTGTGAAAAGAAAAACTGACCCTCAGCTTGACTTTCTAGACAGAAGAGGCTAGCTCTGTAGTTAAGATTCCAAAGGGCAGTGGAGAGGGTGCTTAGCAGAGCTGGAGCTCTGTCTATCACCCCCTGAAAGTATGTGGTGGTTGTCAGAGGGCTGACAGGAGGGGGTGGGGCGGGCAGGGGGCAGCCAGCTCACTACGCCATATAAAGCACTGTGCTATATATAACTCCCTGTGCTTTCTGATCTAGTGCCTCAGACTGCAGACCCAAGCACGGATCATCTTCCCTGGGCAGGTCTTAAAGCTTGCCTAGTGAGAAAGAGAACCTCAAAGTGTCCCTGTAGCCTTCAAATTTAGCCTTTCAAGTAAGAGTGTGAGTACTTTTAAAGGCCAGGCTCTCTGGATCCAGCGGAAACCACTGGGGGTGGCAAACAAGAAAACTAGGTATTCTGTTGTGCACAAACCTTGACGATGGCACACGCTTCAGTGGTTTTATACCAGCAGGAGGCGAAGTTCACCTCCAGAAATCCTCATTTCAGAGGCTGTGTTCTCCTAGCTTCTCACCCACCCACCTCCAACCAAAGGGGAGGAGGTAAAGAGGAAAAAGAGATAAAGGAATGTGCGCAGCGGCAGTCAGAGGCGGCATCCAGTGCTCTGGGCCACAGCCAGGCTGTGTGCAGGTGTCCAGCAGGAGGTTTACCCCCTTCCTTTGCTCTGCAGCCCCTGTGGTGACCCCCAGAGTGGCCACGGGGACAGGAGGTGAGGGAGGCAGTGTGAGCGTGCACTTACATCAGTGGCCTTTTTCTCCGCCAGCTCCAGCTTCTCCTGGGCATCTTTGAGAGCCTCGGAGTATTTGTCGAGTTCATCTTCAGTGCCCTTGAGTTTCTTTTGCAGTGACACCAGCTCATCTTCCAGCTGGGAGTTGGCGGTGGAGTACGGGGAAGGGGGAAGGGGGTGGGGTGCGGCAGGCAGCGTGATCCCGCAAGGTGCGGGGTGAGGGTGCACAGACCGTAAAGGACAGGGACAGCGGGAGAGAGAGAGAGAGGGAAAGACAGGGAGGGAGAGAGAAAGAGAAAGTTAGCCATTCGTGCGCCGTGCCACGCCGCGCGCCCGGGGTACCTTGGCGGCGGTCTCGTCGGCAGCCAGGAGGCTGTCCTCCGCCTTGTGCAGCTCCTCCAGCACCCGGTCCCGCTCGTCCTCCGACGCCCGCAGCAGCTTCTCTTTCGCTGCGATGTCCTCCTCCAGCTGGGGGCAGCGGCGAGCGGGCGTGGGCGGCCGGCACGGACCGAGTGTGAGACACACAACAAATGGGTGCCAGGTTGGCTAGGGCCCTGGGGCTAGGGGATCGCTGCTTTGGGGCTCAAGGGACCCTAGGTAATCTCCCAGAGCTGGGAGAGCTCAGTGACTCATCTCGCACCCCACCCCCTCCCAGGACCACAGTTTTCTGTGGAGAGCTCAGGTCCCCGACTTGAGGGAGTGCAGAAACACCACCCTGTTTGGCTAGCTTTCCATTTGTATCTTCCATTCTGTCCCATCTTTGTTCTTAGGAAATAATTCTGTGACTCCCCCGCTTCCCTCCAAAGTCCCATGTTCAAGGGCTCTTTCTCCCCAACCAAAAAGTCCAAAGAATTTCGGACACTTTAGGACTTGAGCCTTGTCCCACTCCCGCCCTTCCCTCCAGCCACACCAGGAATTGGTATCCTTTCTCCCTTCCTCTTCCAAAACTGATTCCCAGTCCCGAGAGTCAACAGCCTCTCTAGGGAGTTCATGGACTTCGAGGACCTTGGGATCCCGAGAAGGGACACAGGCGTCCTTGGACGAGACAGAAAAGTTAGAATCGAATCAGCCTAACTCTCCCACTTTTTAAGACGCGCGTCCCTGGACACTCTGGGCTTGGGATGGGTCCCGGGGGCGATCCGCCGACTCAGAGACGGGGCGGTAGAGAGTGGGGGTAGGCGCAGACCTGCTTGCTCCGGTCTTCCGCCGCCTTCTTGTCAGCCTCCGCCTGCTCTGCT